GGCAAAAGGTTACTCGCATGTGCGGGTGGGCGCATGTGTGTCGTAACAGGGTAATTTACTATAGTATGCAAGTGCATCTTTTTCGAGTAGAATCTATTGCCGATAGGGTACCCGTGGCTACTTCTGACTCCTGCCCTTGCACAAGATGCAAGCATAGGTTTTGGGATAATTGCAGCATTTTCTAACTTAGATTTTCTAAGAGTAATCAAATAATCTTTAGCTAGTGTCACTTTTTGAATAAATATGTTTGGAGTATTTCGTAGATTAATGTGTTGGGTAGACGAAAGTTAGTACCGTCTTCAGTACCATCAGTTGGATGAGGTGCTAGAGGGATTAAATTTATTCGTCGAGTAAACTTAATTAAGAGGTATGTTTTCCTCCGAATTAAAAGTAAAGCCATTTTGCACGTAACTGGAGTTCTACGAGTAACTTAATTTAACTCCGGTAGTTTAAAGTCACCGTCTCAGAGTAGTACATGATTATTCTGTCTCATGTCTTTAATCAAAACATTTACCACCTCAATTGGTAAAATGGATACCATCCTAGTGTGGATGATTGACTGACAGAGCTTTTGAAACACATAAGTAGAGCTTGTGCGTTAGCTCCGAATGCATACGTTGCTCCCATTTTAACCCAATGGCGCTATAATCAACCAGCAGTTTACTTCAAGAGGGTAAGCTTCAAACCTTCTATTACATATAGTTTATATATCATACAAAAGAAAGTGTCTACTGTCTGGATTTTGTTTCTTCAGAAATGTTAAGTTTTTCCAGCTTTCATACGAAAGCCAAGCAGAAAAGACTAGTAACCTAAGGATTGCGTGCTTAGAATGTAGGATGTCTTGGGTCTTAAATAGGGTAAGCGGCGAATCTCTCCGTAACCACCTTTACTTAAACCCTGCTTATTTCATAGGTAACACATGCCCTGAATTGTTCAGGGGGTTTCTGCCAATCCCCACACCCCAAAGTGATACTTGGCGCAGCTAAGTTGCAAAAGTGAACGCGTCTATTCTCGTTGTTAACCCCTTGCTTTCTTATTACCGCAGTTCGTTTACGCTTCGCCCATTAGCTTGTTTCGCGAGAATGGTGGAGGCTGTATATTTACTGGAAGGAAGACAATGCCCTGGAAAAGACGACAACCAACTAAGACGATGGAGTATTAAAGTAACGACGAAATACGAAAATCCCGAGAAGCTGTAATTCCATCAAGAAGGCAAGACCAGCCAACTCACCCAGCGGCCAACTGAAGACTTCTCTTTGCACATCCTTGCGCTTCGTGGGTGTAGAATATTACGATAGCACGAAAATAGGAAAAACAAAGGCCAGCGAAATTGTGGTGGGATTTGCGTTTCATTCATCGTTCAACGTTTTGAATCAAAGAATGTGCGCCCGTATAGATATGGCAGACCCTGGGAAAAACGTAATTGCGTCAGATGCTTCGAGTGCGAAGATACTGCCGCCACTGCCAGGAAACTCAGAGCCCAGTAAAAGATACCAAGCATTTGCGCTAACGATGGTACCGATGCAGCTGGTTATAGCAGCAGCAGCAGCAACACGCAAGAGGGTTTTGGGCTAAAAGGTAGGGGGCAATAGTCTCTAAAAATATCGACCTTAAAACTTCGTACCACTGACCGGGACCGCAGGCGGTGGGTGGAATCTTGGGGCAAGTCTTGTGCCACCATAGGCATTGTGGGTTCCTGATGTGGAGTCTTTCTGCGCCGCCGGTTGCAACGCTAAGCATAGAGTTTTCAGGGTAAAAAGGAGACCTGTAACGAGGGCAGGGGAATATTGAAATGCAGGTAGCAGATGGTTGAGGTGCTTTCGAGGGAGAGGGAGAACTGGAAAGAGAAGACGACAAAGAATACAAGGGCAGCTGCAAATAAGTTCAACAGCAAAATCCAACTTCTGCAAAGAACGGGGACACAGGCCGGATGACACAGCCGCAGAAAAACGACAAGAAATTGCCTCAAGGCTTGACGTCGAACGTCTGAGTTGAGTTGAATTGAATCTAGTTGGGGACTCCAGAATCAAGAACATGCTATTAAAGTCTCAAAAAAGCGCGAGAGAGCTACGAGATGTGATCAAAGCTTCGAAAATGGGGATAAGCTGGGTTTGGCCAGGGGTGTGTCTCGAAGTCTCAATGAACGTCAGGGATGCCCTGTATCACCTAAAGTAGAGGCGAGCAGGTCTTTAAACGTTTGGAGCGCTCTTTTCAGGTTGGTCACCTATCTGTAGCTGCTGTGTAGATAGCGAAGATCTAACGAACCAACTAAGCAGCGATCAAGTTGAATTAGTAGAAGCAATTGTTAGTGGTATCGTGGAAGGATTGTTAGTGTATGAGAGATGCTAGGAGACTTTTTTCTGGGTCGGTTGTGGGAAGAGAAATAAGAAAATTCGAGCAGACAGACTACTATGAACAGTAAAAACCAAACAGAAAGAACAGCATGCCATCACGACGATAGGTTGTAAGACATGACAACAAACTTTAAGGAACGCGGAATGTACCTATGTAGCTTTTAATTAATTCAGAAATAATTGGCCTTACGCCGAAAGAAACAACGGAACAAAACGCTAGCCACTTGGACCTAACATTATTATCATTATGGCTGTAAGAACAAAACATATTATTGTGTATTCAAAAATGAAGTATGAAAAACAACGGGATAAAGGCCAGTCGCATGGTCAGCCCATAGGAGAGTCGTAGTGATGCAGTTGTTTCAAAATGAGCAAAATTAACTTTATTAACAGCTATCGATACAATTGTCATTAGGATGGGTTGAGGTTAAACTTCTAGTTTCAAACCATTTTACAACTGATTTACTTCCTTAAGCTGCTACCAGCTACTATCTAATATTACTACAACTTATTAAAAATGAGAGAAAAAAAAAATGTACATATCTTGCAAGAATTTACGGACGTCTATTGAGATCGTCATTCAGCTTGCGTCTTTGCGCCTACAACTTTGCCGTATATTGTTCGCATGTGTTTGTTTGGCTCATCCCGAGTTAACCAACCTGGAAGATTCTGTTTAAACGGCTGGAGATATGCGGATTACAATACGACGCCATAGCACAGTTACAAGGCTGAGAAGCTATAGCGTGTCGACCAGTCATTCGTGCCTGTTACGTCTGTCCTCTTTGCGATTCTTCTCGTCCTGCCTCATGCATGTGGGTTTCATTGATAAACTCAATAGGGGTATTGATTCTGGATTGATGGCAGACAGGTGCGCGCGGTTAGGGTTCAGTCGCAGACGAGGATGAAACCGATTGACAAAGCAACTTGATAGGGGCGTTGTACCCACCGTAGAGACGCGATTGCGTTCGTTTCTGTTAGATGAAATGCTTTTTCATATATATATATATATATATATATATATATAAAAGCAATTTCCTCAAAGTCACACGAACGAAGCACGCCCGCTATAAGAAAACGATGAATGATGGCCAGGATTCGCAAAATTGACTAGGCATAGACTTTCTTTTCTTACCATATGTCCACAAATTGTGCACGCAGGGTGAATCATGCCGCCTGATCTACCATCAATGGGCGACTATCACGCAATCTGTCGAGAGTATTCACTTCGAAGTCGAAGTCTATGTGAATCTGAACGTATGGTGATCGTTGGAAAAATCCCACTAAGGCTGTTTTGGGAGACGGAAACGGAAAAAGCATTGTAAGAAAGTTAGACGTTGATGGGAACTGTATATGATTATTTAAGTTATAAAACAAGGTATATGATTAGTGGGTATTACGTACGATGGGCTTAAGTAGTAACCAATATATCGAGTACTCCGATAGTAATAGTAGTAATACGGTAATGTAATATGGATAGATTATGTACTCATTTACTCTAGCTAACGTCGTATTTAGCAAAACAACAGACCGTTCTGTATCTTAAAGTGTTCACGGGGAGCACACTGCCTTATTTACGTAATCATATGAAGTCCTTTTCGCGATATCAACACAGTCGATGTTACCGATTAGACCAGTCAGAGACTTAATGGGTTCATACATGACATCCATTGTTAACTTGGTAGGCTACATTCTCTCAGGAAGTTCAATGGAAGGACTATTCGAAACTATTGTTGATCTCATACGTTTATTTTGTATCAAAGGTCTACTTCTTGTCTTAGTATATATATATATATATATATATATATATATATATATATATATATATAGTTTTTTTCACGTTTTACGTCCGCTGCTTAAACCGTTAGGTTTCTGACATCATTTTAGTTAATAGTAGTGTACTGTATAGGTGTACTAATATGTACTAATAAAACAATTCTTTAGACCCTACTTGTCAGTTATGTTTTTGTAGCCCTCCAGGGACCAACATCATTGCCATATCCGGTTGTTGTCACGTAACGGCTATCAGTAATTGTTGTTATGAAATCCAAAGGTTTATGTCAATAGTTAGCGTGATAACATATATTACGATCACTGTAGTACACAAAGTCAGTTACTTACTAAGTTCATAGGCTTTATTCACCTGTAATCTACTTTATATCGAACTACAAGCAAAACTGATTTTTGTTGACGGCTTGCTCGGCTTATCCATTTATAATACTTCGTTGAGATTCACGCAGGATCTTCCTAACCTGTGCGGGAACTTCGAATCCGATTTTGCCAGTGGATTAAACTAAAAAAATTATTTCGGCGCTACTGTTGGCCCGAGCATTACGAACAGCGACGAACGAATTTTTTTTAGTTTCCGACTTGCTTTGAAGCCAATTGAGTCGCAATTGAGTTCTACAGGTAAAATCGAAGCGATGCTGGTCGTTACCGTCGATGGATTACAACGAAAGCCTATCTTGGTAAGGCGGATTAGTTTAGGGTTCCAGTGTATAAGTTAGTATGTTTACTAGTCTTATCTGTGTGACGGAAATTGAAGATCACTTCTGACCCCATTTTCCTTCTTTTTTTTTTCTTTTCTCTTCTGTTATTGTCCTCACTGGGTCTCCACGTGTTTCGCGCTCTTCCTTTCTGCTCTTTCAGTTCCTCCGCTCGGCCGATGCGTTCATCTCGTCACCAACAGACAACGAGAACTTTCTTCTTGAGCAACACCGGGAAAGTCGGGATCGGGATCAGCGCGAGAGGGATCGCGAAGAAACGGTCAACATTACCGACAACCTCCTATGTGAGGTTGCACCCAGAGGAGTCATGGAGCAGGACGGAACGGTCGCTTCAAACCTGCATGGGACCACAACAAGAGCTGGAACTGGAAGTGCTTATGGATTTAAAGAAGGCCGCAACTCGGTGGGAGTCACTTTTAAGGGTCAGTGATCATGACGGTAATAATAGTGGCACATCCAATAGAAGGTAATCGCCAGAAGGAGCAGACTCATAGAACTCGTCTTGCTGCCAAATATTATAGTTTTGGGCAAAAAAGAAGGGGAGGGGTAAGGACACAAAACGTCCACATAAAAACATACACTCAGGCGGCTAAGTGTACTCCCACACATAGCAACTGCACTTAATTATTCGGAAAATGACTGTGTAAGTGTATCGCGTGGGTGGTAGTTGCAGGTTTAGCTGCTACAAAGTCTAAGTAAACAAGAATAAACTTTTCATCTCTTGACGAGGACAAAATGAAAAAAGACTCCCAACTATATATCATAGTGTTTAGTATCATACTTCACCGGCGGCAGGTGGAGTGGGTCCAAATGGCTAGTGCAAACCGACATCTACCACATACAAACGAAAGTCTATCTCCCATTAGAAAACAGTGATTGAACCACCAATGTGTTCTGGGTACTTAGAACCAGCTTAAGGCGAGAAGACGTCAGTCGTTGTGATGTCAGAAGTAAAATTCTCGGAAGATGCTAACGAGAATCGTAAGCTCCACAGAAACCAGGTCGGGGTGCTCTTGCTTGCTCTATGTTTCCCCTTTCTTTACCTCGTTGTGGGGTTCGTTGATGCCTCTCAAGAGAACCTGAAGAAACCAAGCATGCTGGGAGCAATGAGGATGGAGTCTGGGAAAACGGAAGACCTCTAATGGACGAATTGGGATAGATGCGAGTGACTAACCGAATGTTCAGCATCGCACGAAGCTGCTAGGACGACGAAAACGAGGGAGTAAATTGGGTAAAGGCCAGAAGCTAAGGAGAAATTAGTTGCGGATCGAGAGACGAAAAAAGATGGCTTGAGAAAAGAGTTCCAAGAATGGAACGCTTTCATTGAGCCTAGAACGAGCATACTTCAAGTAACTGAGATCAGCAGTAGAATTTGCGCTAAGTGTCGTAGGAGCCGCGATTAGCCTGCGTAATTCACAGGACCTTGCCCTTCGTCCCCTATTTCCGCCCACTAGATGGCTAGAAGGGAAGACAGTTCAAGGATTTTAATTTACAAGAAACCTTAGTCTTGCAAAGCTAGCAGGTAAATCGTAAGCAGACGTTCAGTTCAGGTTTAATTCTTTTTGTCGTCCTCACCAGGTTTTTCTCGATTTTAAACAGAAAACAGGCAAGTCGAGGGCGAAAGAGGCGTGGTGGTACGGTATAGTTCATTCTGGCCTTGTATATCACTCCATGTTGACTGACCTAGACTTTGATAAGAAGTTTCACTGGCATTTGCCATTAGAACGAAAACCGTGTCACGCTAATAGCGCCGCTATGCAAAAATAACTATTGATGCTGCAGTAATAGAAGTACGAGGTCAACAAAGATTGGCATGCCTACATTCTTGTAAACGCTTATGTTGGCTCGGTTAACTTCGCGGTGCCGCAGCAGTCATGGTAATTCTAGGAACTGTGTGTGTTTGTGTGGAATACAACTTCATGGTCGAGGCGATGGGTGATTCGTCGATGTAAACTAGCCAAAAGCAAGATGCCTGATTTCTGGCTGGCTACCGTTTAATAGGATTGTTCCTCCATAATATTGTAAAGTAGGCTGCACAACAAGACTGAGAGGAAGGGAGATCGTTTCACTTTTGGTGTGATGCGGGCATAAAAGCTGAGGAAAATGAGGCTAATGTTTGGATTTAAATGTATTGCTCATTGATATATTCGTGCGTCAACACACGACGACTTATCTTTAAGAGTATTTATTCCAGTAACTTTCTAATGACTGCGTAAGTAGAACAGAAAAAAACGTGCCGATCAATTTAGGGTAGATACAGAGGAGAGCAATTAATTGTCTAAAGGGGCCAAATAGTCTGATGTTTGTCGCAGCGTCACTCGTGGATATCATTTACGTCATCAGTAGCTATCGGTACGGTGCAGGCATTATTAAGAATTCCTATTTTTGACAATATTGTTTTCTATAAAGTATACAGAACTTTATAGATAAATGCTGTTAATCTTTACTTTGAACATTAAGAACCTTAAGTAAGTATTTTGCGTTTTTCTTCCACAAAGAAAATGTTTGAATTGTTTACACGAGAGTGAGAGAAAAAGATTGGAGGCAAGTAAAGACCTTTACCCATACTTTTTCCTGCTATCTAGTGCGATGAAGCTAGCTATCATTTCTGCTTTCTCAAACTGGAGCCCTCTGGTATTGGTTGAGTAGCCAATTACCTTTAGCCGTATTTTGGTGTCCAACGTTCAGACCTGGTAGATAAATTTTGTCGTCCAAAATTCTATCTAACCTTCATATTTTATGCAGACTTTGTGAGGCTCTGTTTGATCGCATAAGGCTCAGTCGAAACAAAGACTCATCGAGTCGTGTTTCGCCTTTGCAAGAGTGGAAAACAGCCTTTCGGCGATTTTTCTCCTAGCAGTTGTTTCCAAACGTTCTTCGGGTCGACCAATGGCCCGACTAGCTGAATGGCGCATTCATAGGAAAGTCATCCGTCTCGGCTGTTCTTTCCCAGCTCTTTGGCTTTCTGACGAGGAGTTTTCGAATACGTTTGTTCTGTGCCTTTTTTTCGGTGCTTCATTTCCTACTATTGGGTGAAGGAAGAAATCATAAGAGGCTGCTCCGTACATATTGCTTGGCATGCAGAGTAAAATGATCAGCAAATGTGGCTAGCTCGAAACGAAGCTCGAACACACAGCGCGAATAGAAACATTAAGAGGTTCTGTTGAGGTAGCAGTAACGACCTACGCTTCACGATGTAACCAATTAGTGCTTTTTTAAAAGACTGTTCGGCTTTAGCATTTCGTTTTGCGGTGATTTAAAAAAATAAAGCCACCTCACATTCAATCAAATCGAGAAAAAAACATCGGTCCGAAGATAAATGAAAAAAGCCCACATACTAACACGGTATTGAGCATGCTAATTGAAGCAAGTTTTCCGTAATTATTTTTGGTCACAAAAACAACCATCTTTTCCGCTATGCAGAGACGCGAAACTACGCAAAAAAGGTCAATTGTATTGGAAAATTGTTCTTTGTGTCACTGTTGTGTTAGCGGTTTTGCTATGATATTCTGAGTATTAATATTACATATTTTCCAAAAGGAGACTCTCCAATGGAGCTCCTTATCCCGTCTCAGTTATATTTTGCCTTAAAGAAAAACAAAAAAAAAGGCCAAAAAAACAGTTTCTTTAAGAAACTAGAAACATGTATAAATATGCCAATCTAAATCGAGCTACTGGACCGAAAACACACAAATGTAGTCATATAAAATGAGATGTTTGATGATTCCATGAGGCCACAATGGACAGCTTATATGATCCATTCCTATATCCTACTTGTAAGACGGAGAGTTGCCTTGGACTTGAAGGCTGAAACCAACACGGACAGATATTAGTACACAAGGACAATAATTAACGGCAGTGCGCTTACGTTAAACGAAAAACGGAACTTAATTAATGAACAGTAATACTTTAAAAAAAACTGATGGTACCGACAATTTATGTCATACTTTAATATAGTCCTTCATAGATATCGTGCATTTTTTTGCCTACGTAGAAGCCTCAATTAAGTAAAAGCGCACGTTCTTCCATGCATGCTCTTTTTTTTTTGCTTTTCTTGTTTTCGCTTCACTTGTTTATACCTTTTTGTTTTAATCCACTAAGGTAAAAAGTATAATTATTAACGCTTTGTTTCCGTGGCAGAATCTCGCATAGTAATATACTTACTTCTGTTTATCTTCGCTATAGTCGATCCAGCCGCCAACATTCAGATTGTTTAGGAAATAACAAATAGCTACTGCTACGCTTTCATTTGATAAGTGTTCAGAATCCACAAACATTTTGGGAGTAATATTCAAGAGAAAAAACGTGCCTCTATCATGTCTTTAGACCGCTGCGTATAGCGGCGTAACATCTATTGGAGTGTGTACACTGTGGCTGGGGAGACGCTGATGGGGTGCTGGAGATAGAAGGGTAAGTTGATACGGCTTCCGTTAAGCTATGGTAAACGTATTTAGCCAGGGACATTATAATTAGTAACGAGCTTAACGGAGCGTAGCACTGTGCAAGCAGCCGTTACGCTTAGGTTGTTTGTACGGCCGGTCCAGGTGGTTGGTTTCTCCATTTCCAAAACAAATGTAGGCGGGCCACGGCGTGTTCTGAATAGAGGAAAACTGTATGCAGGCAAAGGGAGATATCGCTCTCGAAGCAACTATGCCAGTGATTACTGCAATGAGTGGAAATCTTTGAACTCGTAAAATGGTCAACAGCTACGAGAGGGACTCGAAGGCTTCTGCACAGAAAATGGCGGATCAGTAAATTTGACAAAAATGTTCAACAGTTAAAACAGTCTGCCCATAGAACATTAGCCCATAGAAAACACGTTTATTATTACGGTTACTGTCGATTACGGAGAGACAGCTTAGAAAGATGTACCGCAAACGACAAATCGAAGGTCCTAATTTGTACGTTTTGCTCGTATATATCGCGCTGTGGATGATCAAGTGAAATGTTAATTTTACGTTTAAATTTAACTTCCGAACAAGTCCTCTTTTGTATTGAATGCAATATAAATGTCTGGCTGTAGAATGTTGCAGGCTTTCGCTGTGTGCGTCTATATTGCACGACTACGATTTCTTTTGTAACTATTAATTTTTTTTGGTCAATAAATTTGTCTTATTTTTATTAGGCTATTTTCACGATTTTTCTTTGGCTTCAGTTATAGAAAGTCGTGTAGAGTTTGATCTGTATAAATATTTGCATTAGTCGTTGTTTATGATATGATGCCATCGTAAAGTTGCGATATAAACCATTAAAGTGCGCCAATGCGATCTGAACCGTACCGGTAATGTAGCATTTAGTTTCATGATGAATATTTAAAAGCGCTTATTTCATACCATTATCTTACATTCAACTAAACATTTTATCCATATCGTAAAGTGGGGTGATTTGGAACACTTGAAATTAGAGGTTTTCGTTCAAATATGGCAATATGTCTTTAAGTCAGGCTTAAGGTTTCTGGTATTATTCGATTGCTATTGTGGATTTGTACACTCTTCTACACCGTTTGCGCCATCTCGGTATCTATACGAAGCCCAAATAATATTAAATCGCCAAAAACTCTTTCTAGTCTCGTGAGTTCGGATCAAAAAATACACGAAGTAAGAGGTGAATATAAGTAAGTTAGAAGACGGTTCTATATAGGACTGATCAAAAAGGCTCAACCAGGCTTTTCTGTACGGCTCCATTTCAAATAAACAGTAAACAGATATTCCTCCAGTTAGAAAAGGAATCAACTGAAAAAAACATTACTGTAGTTTCAAATTTATTCTTATCTAGCTCTAAAACCCCATTTCCTTTTGTTAACCATGAAGGGAGGCTCATGTATTATTTTGGCTGAGCCACCGACGTCGGTGTGATCTTATTTCTGTGATTGCTTCTGTGACGTTTTCTTCTTCACAACATCTCTTTTTTGTACAGCTGAAAGACGCTCGACCCATATACCCGCACCCGCACCCGCACCCGCTTATTATTCGAATCACAGGACGCTTGATTTTTTTCATTTACTATTCTCAATTATATTTGTTGATCTAAACAGTTATTATAGGACTATGACTTTTTGTGAAATACATGTGCAAATACAGTACAACCTTAGATGAGATATTGGTTTTTCCCAGCAGAAAATTAAGGGGTCCACACCCGGTTTCGAATTTAGGCTACCTCAAGCGTCCCATACATTAGTAGGCAAACACGTTACGGCTACATGCTTAGGGGAACATAATTTGTTTTCTTTTTTAGCAGCATTTAACTCTTCCAGTTTATCCTATCTAACATCTAGCAATGTTTTTGTCGTTGCTACACACACAGTGAGAATAGCTCTTACATTAGTGCCGTTCTGTAACAAATTGAACTTGCCGAAAACGCTCACTCATACACATCTACAGTGATAGCTTCCACAGAACGATATTTATGAAGCTCTAGTTAACTAGTCACGCAGCGACCATTTTTAGTCTGAATACTGCTCACCCGTTGCAGTGGTCATCAACACATCATGCGCCCTTTAGTCTTTTGTGAGGCATTAACACTAAAAGCTACTGGTAAACGATGAAAACGCTATCAGTTATCACTCGTGAGTCGTATCATAGACGCATTTCGGTAATATGCGCGCAGGCAAGATTAAAATACGTTGAAATGACAAATCGGCCGAACGTTTTATCGGTTTCAAACAGCCTCGTTCTAGCGAGTTCCCCTCAATGTTTATAGGTGTTTATTTCATTATTATATAACGATAGACTACCAATACGCTCCCATAAGATCATGCTGCCCATGAGAAGCAAACATCAGCAAACAGTAGTGCAAGAAAAACATTACGCCACGTTCTGCCGCAATTCATAGAAATGTCCATAAGGAAAGATGTGACACAGAATGATTTGTTTGGCGACCATTCTCCTATATTTTCTTCTGCCACTCATTTTGTAGTTGTTGATATGCTCTCTGCTCACGTTGTAGCAGATGTGTTATTACCACGTTCGTTCGTCTGCCCCTGGCCATCATTATAAGAGTGGTACCGAGATTCTTCGTGTAGCTGCTTAGTTTTCGGGAAGAAAACAAAGAGCGCAAAGTAAAAGTTAGGGTAAAAGTGTGCGGTTAAATGCTATAGATCGTCTTCTTTTTTTCGAACGCAAACGGTGATGGAGAAGGCCGAAGCGATGTTTGCTATAGCGGTTAGACAGCGAATCGGGTGACCGTTTCCAACGATAAAAGGTACAAGCACAGAGGTGGCTTCAGTAGTAACACCGTAAAAACGCCATGCTTTGCGGTGCTATGGCGACACCGTTGCGAATGCAAGATAGAACTGGGTTGGCAGCCCAGTCGGCTTCGTTCACAGGACAAGCAGCAGCTCGAGCGTTTAAATATGGTTCAAGGGGGGCACATAGCTTACCAGCGCGTACTCGGTTAGTGCAACGCTTTGGTAAGGTGGGACGGGTTCTGTCTATAAAGGAAAGGCATAAAGGGACGATGGTGGCATGGCGATGAAAAATGTATTAAGTGCCTTCGGGACCAGACGTGTAATTATCGTACAAAGAAACGTTCCTTCGGCCTGCAAGCGCTTCGTTCGCGTCCCGCAGGCCTCCTTGCTTTCCTGAAGCCTCCAGCCGCCCATTCTTAGCTCGACAAAAGCGACTCATCCTGGTAGCGACTATCGTTTTCGTGCTTCCACCACCGGCAATGGCGGCATCGCTCGTGGCCTCACGGCCGCCGCGGCGCGAGTTAAGTGCTCGCGCATCGCTGCGATTTGAGGGGCAGCAAAAACGAAATACAAGGGGATGGCTTTTTTTCAAATCCATCCCCTGTGTCGCTCTTTTATCATCTTTAGCTAAAGTCTGACGAGAATAGTGGGCCGTTTAGCTTACCTTCTGAGCGCCTTGGGCAAGGACTGATTACTGGTTCCGCTGGGTGCGCGAGATGTTTACTTTCCGATGGCGGGCAGTTCGCATGCAAGAGGCGCCATCGTGAGAGCTCAAGGAAGCTTGAAACTTGCGTGACTATGACGTGTCCATTGATTAATGTTGTAGTGGCTGATGAAACGAGGTTGGTCCTTTCGCGGGGGCACAATGCAAACCATTTCGCGTTTGGATCTTTTTGCTTTCCTCCAACTTGCTCGGCGAAAAAAGCAAATAATTTCTATTTTCTGGGCGTTCTTCTTTTTCGCTGGCATGTATGACTAGCCTGATTGTGTGCAATGGGATATATAGATACGTACCTAGACCGCAGACCTACCTAGAAATAGGAAAAAATAGGCAGAGTGGTAGAGATGAAGACGGTTGGTATATGGCATCGCTTAGCAAAAACTGCTCGTATTGCGTAAACCTTTGAGCTATTATATCACAATTCAAGAACCATCTGCCCAATGGATAGCTGTGCCTCGGCGATTTTTTAACAATTCATCTTCTCTCTCTCCCTGCCTGTTGTTGTTGTTCTTCAACCTTTGCCTGCCTCATAATTATCCTAATATTTTCTAATCGCAGCTAGTGAAACGCGAGAACGGATCGAGATGGCAGGCGGTCGGGAAGTAGTTTCGTCTGCAAAAAAGAGCTCGTCCGTCCGCGCCAAGAAGCAACGACGTGAACCGGTCAACTTAATGGATGACAACAAGCCACTCGGAAGCGAAGGAGTATTAGACCCGCCGTCGACGATGGCTGCCACGACCACTCTGCCGGAATCCACCGCGATTTCCAACGGATCGTTGCTTGACAGGGGCGCGGAGCGGATTAACCGCATCGAAAGGGAACTGGTCGACGTCACGAGACAACATCGTCAACTTCAACACCATCAGCCGCAGCAATATCAAGCTCAACAACAGCAGCAACACGACGTCGTCTATGATGATATCGGTAAGTATCTCAACATGCGAAAGAAAGCGACCAGCGAGATACTCGTACTGAGCTGCGATTAGATACGAACTGCAGGATATGAAGCCGATTTATTGGATTTGTTACTCGTGAGATCCTTTGTGGAAACGCCTGCGGACTAAATGCAGAATATAATTTAATTGCACGCATACTAATACGACTATAGAGAAAGCAGAAGAGTAAAAGGGAAACAAAAGGAGCAGAGTCTGTGGACATTTCGTGCAGTGCATTAATTGAGATTTATGCAGAAAAAGATAAAGGGAGGTGTAACTATATGAGGAAAGCACATAGGAAAGGATGGGAGTCTTGGACATAACATGGTGTGATCGTGTAAAATGTGAAGCAAAGGAAGGGAAGCGTCATTGTTACTAATGACGAAGGAATGCGTGATTCGGGTAGAATTATCGATAACCTTAAATTGTACTAATGACGGGTAGTGTTATGCAAGCTATCAAACAACGAAGGAACTTACCGCTGCCGTTCTGTATGTTTAGCCGTTAGGTACAATTGACAGACTGTAACATAAGGCGTACTGTCAGTTAACGCTAGATGCTCAAAGCTCGAAGTAGATTGCTAGTAACTCAAGAGGGTTACTTGTCCTACGCTATTCAATAGGTTTCGCTTTAATGGATGCATATAAGTTGCGAAATGAATAGTAATGGAATGCTTTTGGGATTTGCCGCCTTGCCATCTAGGTTGACAATTGTTACGTCTTGCAAGCACATAGTTCGCCGGATATATATAATATAAGTTGTAAGTAGCATAGTGCAAATAAGACACTGTGTCTAATTTGATTGTGAGCTAGTAGACTGAAAGTGAATCACGTAAGTCACGAGGAATCGAATAATAAGCACACTTCCGTATGGAGAGAAAAATAGTTTACCGTTTGTTTTTTTTTTTGAAATACAATGCTCATGTGTATCTTGTAGTTTTTTTTTTTAGACGACAATGTCAATTATTTTCTATGTCAATATTAATATCGTTCAGTGGATTCGATAGGGAATTCCTTGGTACTGGGATCTACCTATATTGCATTTTTTTTTAATGTGAACACGAGTTCTACAAGGCTTATTCACTTCAGGATCTTGTTCTATGGCAAGGCAGGAGTACGCGCATTTTCAAAATAGTGCGAACGCCGTATGCTATATATATATACAATTTTTTTTTTCGTTCAGCTTCGCCATGCAATCAACGTTACTCACTGTTTTTCTTCTTTTTAGCCATAAAATAAACACATTTGTTTATCGACTGGTTTTTAATACTCTCTTGCTAATATCGGTTTCGATATCGTGCTGTCTTTGTCTATTCGTTCCCTTTTGTCATACCTGCACATAAAGACGATAGCGGTTTAATGGCCCCTCCGTCTCCAACACCGTGCGCCCCCATGCACGCCGGTGGCCTCAATGGGATCCAGGAGGAGGGCAGCGAATGTTCCGAGCTACCGACGCATGGCGGCGAAGGACTAGGTATATCTCGGGATCTTTCTTCGCCAGGAGGTGTCCGGGTCGTATCCGTTCTGCTGGGACCCTCACCGCCCCCACCTCCTCCTACGCTTCTGAACGGCCACTCGGCCATGAACGGTGAGAGACGAAAAAGGGAATCTAGAAATTTTTGCACACGGCTTTATGAACATTTTCATTACCGCATTTTCATATAGTGGAGCAACAGTCAAGAGTCTCTATTTTCAATATATATATATCTAATAGGCATTTGTCAAGTAACTTAGAAACCTAATTGTAGAAGAAAGTACTTGATGCTCGCTATGGAGTCGGTTAAACAGGCGCGTGAGACAGCTACTAAACATCTAGCTGGGCCTTGCTTATACCCCTAGATGAGGGAAACGATGACAACAATAAATAACCTCGTTTCTCGTTTCTATGTCATCAACTGCTAACTTCGAATGCGATCTACCGTGTATATATATGTGTGTGTGTGTAAAGGTGGATCATCAATGAAAAGTCTAGATGAATTGTCGTGTAGCAATTCGTGCGATACGTCGACGTCGCAGGGTGACGAAGGAGTTGCACGTGTCATCGGCACCGTGCCTATCGCCCAATACGAAGGATCGCCGCGTCGTTACGGACGGCCTAAAAGGAGTTCCGGTCTACCCGGCTACCCGCAGAGGGTGTACGCGCCCGCCAAGGAGAAGACCAATGACAATAGCGACAGGCCAGACAGGTGTGATCGAGAGCTGGATCGGCTTGAGAGACAGCAGCAAGACGACGCTGACGACAAGGATCTAAAAAAAGAAAATGAAGCTGTCCAGTTGCTAAGTGAGCTGCTTAATGGAAGTGTCAAGAACGAGAAGAATGGCTCGCCTACCGATTTTAACGATCTGGACTACCGGTAATTTGGAATTTCCATTCGAAATCCAGTAAAATGGAGCACTACTTGACGGCACAGCGAAAAGTTGGCTTTGCCTGGCTTTCGTGCTGGAAGCTATTTTCTGACAACACACAAGCTTTGATGCGGATCTGTGTAGTCAAGTTTACGTTACCTTGTCTTTTTATAATACATATGTAGTTCAACGCGTTACTATATAAATAAGTGTGAAATTCATTCATAAACGGCGGGAATGGTACGGCTTTCTAGTATAACTAAACGCCTGTCTGTACACCTTTATATCCTGCTAATATACTTTATTTTATGGTGTCATTTATGTTAACGCCACATCTAATTGAGACGTATACGGTAGTGAGGTAGGAGGACATATATCCGCTTGTTCATCAATGAGTCTTCATATAATCACAATCAGTTACGTTTACTTCTGTGTGATCACCTTTTAACTGACAGATTATCATATAGGCCAGTGACAGATCGTGAACGTGATCGCCAACAAACTCAACTCCAGCAGCAGCAGCAGCAACAGCACCAGGGCCGTGGCGAGAATAACAAAGGCGATCGAGGTGGTAGCTCGTATGTTGCCCACCGGCTCGCATCTCCTGTGAAAGAGACCCGCGCAGGGGACGTTGCGTGTCCAACCGGACAAGCGAGTCCGGGCGGGTCATCTTGTGCACCACCAGTCCCGCCAAAATTAAACCTTACTAGTGGCACGAGCCCTGAGGAACCTCAGTACACTACTATACGTAAAGGAGGCCTCAAAGACCATCAGGGGCCAACGCACGGCCACACCGACGCCAAGGAGATGGTTATGCTCCACGAAAGGGTAGGTAGTCATTTCCGATCCATTATAAATTTTCATTACTAAATGTGTTAGCAGAACTCTTATTGCTCATATTGATTTTTTTCGGTGTAGTATGTGTGCAGTAGTTGTGAACGCGGAAGGCAAAACACGATCTCTATCAGGCAAGGAAACAGTGTTGGTGATGGACTGCATATAGCTTGTCGTTTCCATTTGGAGTTATTTATTGGGATAATGCCAACTTACCTTTCTAATTTGTTATTTTCAGGTGCAGCAGCACTCTCTTCAGGTAGACATGGTAGGAGAGCTGGACGACTTCTTAGGAATGGACACTTCAATGCGTAATCTGACCGTCTCGCCTTCGGTCTCTAACACAGACGACTGTAATACTGTTGATTCGGACGGCACCGAAGGTGATTCTAGTCAATATATTTAGCTGTAGAATATAGAAGTTTTTTCAAGCAGGGTTTTTATTTCCCGCCCCAAGAGACATGAGCAGCGGCTATCAGAAGCTATTAAGCGACACCGTTTCCCCTCTTAGCACATGACCTTTCTGAATCACTTGCTATTCATTGATGGTATACGGCCTGCACTCTATGCAGGTTCGATTTTTTTTGGTTAAAAAAAATTTGCTTGCACTTTGTCTTTATCTCACCGTACGCTCCGCTTCGTTTATTTCGTGTTGAATGGTGACCGACGTGTCTGACCCATGTTTCTCAGGAGATCCGGACGAACTGCTTTCCATGGCCAACTCTGGAGGATCGCGTTTGATGCCTGTGCTCGAGGACGGGCTATCGTCGGGACATGTCAGCGAGAACGACGACGACGAGGATACAGGTACCACAGTTGGTTTAATACACGGCGACCGGAAAATGCGAGGTACCAGAAATCGGGCAGTGCGAACATCTGCGTTGTGCCGAGTTCAGAAAAGCTCGAAAGGGAACAACAGGTCTCAACGGCGGAACAAGACGCATTCTGGTATGGGAGGATTTAGCCGAGAAAAGTCCAAGCAATCAGCTGCACCAACTGCTACTTATGCGGCTAGCTGGGTTGGGCGACAGGCGCCAAAATGCTCCGTCTCACCACGCTGATCATACCCGGGATGGCTGGCACATACAAAAAGCAAAACTTGGCTTTTTTCTCTTAATGCACTTTATTTCTTTGCTTGTGGAAGGAGATGAAACCGCTGGGGCACTTCGCGGCCGACTGCTCCACTCTATCTTTTTTCGTGCACCACTGGCACCTCTGTTCACTAGCGAGCACCAAATGGCCCGAGACCACGAGCTTAGCTAACAACTAACGGTCGAAGTTATTAATGGTCAGAAGATCGGGTTGTTTTCCGATCCACACCGTAGTACGGATCCTCGGCGAGATGATTCGAAACCATGCTGTCTAGTCTGGCTAAGAGTTGGGTAGAACACGCAATCACGCTCGAGCTTAACCTGCACAACATTTCTGGGTGCTAGCACAAATTTTCGGGGTGTAAATGTTTGTTAAGCTCAATAGGAATATCTAAAGAAGAGAAACGATATTTTGTATTGATTCCGCCTCCTTGAAGGACAACAGTGATTAACAAAAAAAAAAAAGCTAGAGCAACGAAAATCGCGTGGTCGAGCACGTATACCAAGCATCCATGTTAGAGGTCATCGTATTAGGCATTCTCTATGATCTCCCGCCACTACTATGGTCTTGCTAGCAAGAGCGGTTCTAACAGGCGTCTTGGGTAATGGAAGTGGCGTACTGTGTAGTCATAAAAATGCGTCAATAAACGCTTATTTAAATAGCCCCACTGCTATCTTTCTAGATACAAAACGATGGCAGAGCATACACACCTTTCCTTTGAAATTTAACTGCAACAATAACCGAGTTACATTGAACAATATCCTAGCCATCCATTAGATTCCTAAATACGAATGGCCACTCGGAAACTCTGTATAGGATAGATTTCCGTTGATGACGCATTTATTTCTACTTCTCATGTTCTATGATTATCTTCTTCAACGAGCTATTTCCCTGTATTCCCAGTTGATTATCTTTAGAGAGTTGCTCGGTGCTTCGCTACCTTATCGTAGTTGTGGCTACCCATTTTCTTTCATTTACTTCCTGTATAGCTCCCAATGCGTGTATGTACGTTCATATTCATCTATTTTTATACACCGCTGCTGATGCGATAAACACGGCACTCACTATCGATAAACATCTTCCAGCAAGCAGATAGTTACGTTTTACGTTGAACACTTCCACGTGCCGTGACCTTCTACGAAATACTAAAAGCTGCAGAAGACGGCAACAAAAGTTCATGTTCTATTAGCTATAAGGCGAAAACGGTAGAACTGCACATAGTATAGACGGCTTTCAACGTTTATCTTTATTTAAAAATAGCAGAATGTAGTTCTTGTGGGTTTCCGGTAACTAGGTGTTCCTACTGTTTTCATTTTGATTTCCGTTGATTTCTTTATGTGGCGGAGATAGCATTCGCAATTAATTGCTTTGACGGCGATGATGTTAATACGATTTTAGAAATACCACCGTCAGCACCGTTACTTGTGGGCGGCATTGGCGTCATTGGTAGCGGTGGAAGCCACATGGGTGGCCAGGCATCCGTGTCCGATGCCATTCGCGAGATTAAGCAGGCTATCCAGCACTCGAAAGCGCAGCAACAACAGGTAAAGAAGTCTGCAGCTGACAGTGGCTGTGTAAGTCCAACGGATAAGAGTCAACGCGAGCTTCGGGAGATTCGTGACCGCCAAATGGCAAACAGTAATCAGCAATTGCAACAGGCAGGCTCCCATCAATCGGGTAACAGCCAACCGCCTGTCTGGGTACCTCGGTAAGTAGAATACATCAACACCAGAAGATGTCATCAAAATGGAAAGAAGCAACGCTTTTTGTATGGAGGCCTTCTGTAGACTTGTCGAATTTGGCATTAGAAAGATTTTAGCATACGTCGGCACGAGTTGTCAAGTGCATGATTTATGATACAATGACCATTGCAAGATCTAGTTTGTTACTGCTGTTCCTCTGTCATGCACATTTCAGGATGAACAGTGGTTTTGCCCATACGGGCAGTAACAGCGCGGGGACGAACGATTCGACTCAGCAGGAGGATGGTACGTAATCTAGAGGAACAGGTGTATTTCAATCAGTATTCAACGAATTGACCTCTGCCCTGCTTCTGTCTACTTAAGCAGTGTAAACAATTTCGACGTCTCGTCTGTCAGTTTCCGCTAGTTGAACGGTTTTACCTGTTATACTTCATCATGTTTCATTTTTATCGTTTTTACTAATATACTTACTAATATATGTATTTTTTGTTCTCTTTGTCGAACTGCACTCACAGACTGCGATACTGACCAGGAGACGGACCGGCTTCTGGGTGAGCAGAGATCGGAGGATAACGGCTTCTATGACGAGAAGTCGCAGTCTTCGACGGGAAATCCCAACTCCAACAGCAAGCAGAGGAAGACTAACATTGATAATAACAATCTCCGAACGACGACAACGACATCGTCATCCGTAACAGCGGCAAGTAACGGAAGCGGCGCTGCTGGCAGCAATCATTCGTCGACGAACTCCACCTCCAACTCGACGTCCAACTGTACCTCAACGAATTCGAACCAGAGCAGTGCCAACTCGTCAAATACCACGTCGAAGGAAGGTAAGGCCCGGATGGCAGTGTGTGGCCTATTATCGTTCCCTCTCTATTTGTTATCGCGTCTCGTCCATTTATAACATTATGCATATACTGATTAAGCGATGTATATATAGGTGGAATTTTTTATTCTCTACCGAACAGTAACGATCATTCGTCGCTGCAGTGAGTTTCATTTGTGTCATCACGAGGCACTATACGAAATTAAAACGCAGGTTAGTACGTTTCCCAACGTGGGCGCACACCCGCACGTTTAGTGGTCTCACGAAGATTCGTTTTCGACCTCTAAATCGTACCTATCTTATGTAGAACATAGAGCCTTACCCACATTTCTTGTTACACCGACCACTAGTTGTTATATTGAATTTGTGCTCAATTGTTTGTGTTCGTATACGTTACAGCGTATTTTGCTTTTTGCCATGTGCAATTGTTGTTTTGTACAAAATACGATGATCCATGAACTAGAGGTTGGGAAATTTTCCAAATCGAGCCCCTATGTAAACTAACAACTGTACAGCCCTGATTTATAGTCTAATTTACCCTGGAATAATCAGTGTATGGGCCTATATCAGCTGTGGACCGCAACGTTATTGGCTACGTAGCTTCTAATGGAAATGGTTTAGATGAATTACTACATGCATATTGAGCTAAAAAGCGGGCTTACATGTTCAGCGAACATAATCTTCTTCATTCACCGCCTCATTTGCCAGCAGAAACAACAATGTTGCTAAGGCACCTCTTTTATTAAGTATCAGTATGACGCCACTCCTTAGTGTTCAATATATTGCACGTTTTAGCCGTCATTCTGTTCATAATTAAACACTGTTCAGAAAGTTTTATGATTAATTTAGCAAGATTCGTGCAGCTGACCACTTTGATAAGGGTAAGCAATGTGCAGACACCTTGAGATCAACTTCTAGGCGTTCTTCTTGTGTCTAGGCGTTATTCTTTTCCTGATCATTACAATCCCAGATACCTATGGTTCTGTGTCGTGGGTTGCTTATCTCGGACGACGATTAATCGTCGTCCGAGATAAGCATTCGGGTACAATTGTCCTGCTAGCAAATTTTCATTTTCAATTTTTAACTGGCGGCTAGCTGCCACGAAAAGTCGTTTGAGCTTTTCGATGAGCTTTAGCCAGCAACGCAGTCGAGCTAGCACCGCACGAGAGTATAGCATTTTCGCTAAATAACCATGAGACGAAAGAATTGTGTCTATCACTTTTAGACGATTATAATCCACCAGAGTTCGATACTATTAAAACTAGTCCGCACAACTCTTGTTTCCTTGTTTTATTTAGGCCCTTTTTAAGTCCCACTTGTTGTGTCTATTAATTACCCAGTTATCCATTCAAATTCGTTATTTTTTATTTGTTCTGACAACATGTGTTTGTGTGTTCCTCTACTCTTTTTCGTTACTGTAATAGATAGTCGTTTCGTTTGGGTTTCTCCGTTTCATCCCTTAGGTAAAAATTCCTAACCCAATTTATTTGGTCGTGATTTGACTACGGTCCATATTTGGATATGCGAGCTTTTTGGCAGAGCGATCTGTATATGAATCGTCGCTTGGTCGCCAGACAATGGCTACTACATCAGATTGCTGCTCGGTATTACAATATATGTTTGCGGGCTATGGGATTTTGTGTAACAGCCACTTGTTGGGAAGGTCTAGAGTTTCGTCGGCTGACGGCAATGTTGGTGATGCATTTTTGTGTGCCTTTTAAAACTGCGAAATGCAGACGATCCTGATGCACGCAGGATCTGGCTAGACGTGACAGAATCTACGTTTTCCATGCCCGTCTATTACACAGAGCAAATATTTCGCGTAAAAAGCAACGCTCAAGGTGTCATATATATGTGCGCTAATAACTGAGTAAGAGAGAAAGTAACGGAGCTATATGTACGATACGTTACAATGTCGTGAAGGGCATTTTCACGTACCATTCCCCCTATCGAAATCCGCTAATCGATGTCTCGGTAACGTACTATGGATTATTCGTTCAATTTTTCGATGCTCTGCCCCGTACCCGCTGCGCGCACGCTGCACTTCAACACAACTTCTCTTCGACAACATCTACCTCTTTATTGGATCATCACGAAAAACAACACATTAACTATGGGCGTCGCCTAATCGCTATTTCGTTACGATATTACCGATCTATCCTGCCGGCTGTCCAATCGGTGTTCGCGATCTACCTTGCAAACAATATTCCAATTGAAATTCCCATTGAATCGTGCGTCACCTATCGATCGAAATTCGCTAATGGTGAGTTGTTCGTCTGCCTGAGCCTCCGTAAAAGTCACGTGAACGAGTTAGTCAGAAGATAAACTTCAGAATGGTTAGGAGCATACAGTCCCGAATGCCTGCTAACTCCAGACTGTCGGCCTAGCATGCAGTGCACCACCTGAATGCTTCTTAACTCTACCTATTCGATACCGATTCATAAGTATTAAAAATCGGAAAAAGATCCGTTTTCTTCTACCCTATTGCATTTTGTTTTCACTATAATTTCCATAAGACATAAGGAGGCATTAAGCTAATCTATATCAGTTGATAATAACTACACTAGGTTTAGTGAGAGACACCTTGAAATGAATGCGAGAGAAAAATTAGCGTGATGAGCCAAAAGAGACGATCCTTGCCCATTGAACGTTCGTTTCCGTCGCGTCGGTGCTGGGTGAACGCTTCATTACTGCTAGCAGGTTTATTGCGGTGGTCCAGGGTTAGGGAAACGCGTTCAAACATCAATCGCATCGATGCGTTTCGAACAGCCATTTTTTATAAAAAGCTTATCATATCGGAATGTCGCTGTCGGCATCAGCTACTGTAAACTTGAACAATAAATATAACGAGCCATTGTTGCCTGCATGCCTTAATGGGCCTCTGGGTTTGATACTTGTCGTTATTGCCTTTACTTGTTTTTTTTTTGGCTCATTACCTCGTACGCCTGCTGCGAACTTCGTGCTACATTCGAGTGTATAGGAAAAGGTGATGTTTCGAACTAGTCTGCTTTGTGTTTGGCCGTTGTGTTCGGTATTTCGTTGGTGTACCATATGTTTGCCTTAGATATTCTTCCACGCATACACAAAATACGAGTAGCTTTGTTAAGCATGTTATGCTATTTCTTGTCGCCGTTAATTGCTTTGCAAACTATACGTTAGCGGCTGTCTTAAGCTTACTAGTTCCAGCGTATGTTCCTTCTTAGACTACAGACTGAATTAGTTCTTCGTCGAATTTTCAGTAAAAAAAAAAAGACGTGACATAGCAATACGAAATACTTTTGGGGGCCTATGTCTGTGCATAATGTATCATTCGCGCGTGTCGAGTTTCCCCATCATCAACCTACGGTAGGCAAGGAAAGGCTCTTTATGAAAAGATCACAACATTTATCCTATAAATGAAAAATAATTTCAGTAAGATACTTCTTCCCTATATATATATATATATATATATATATATATATATATATATATACGAGCCTTGGCAGCACAGTTAATAGAAACAGGACATTGTGAAGTAGATAGTAACATGTGAAACCAATGCATAATAAATGTGTTTGTGCCTAATGCATAGTAGAACGTGCTTTGTCAGTCAGGTTGGGTCACTTATTTTATTCTCTGAAATTATCGCAAAGATTCCATCCAAATTCGTCGTATCCGACCTATTTTCGAATAGTCAGTCGTTACCCGGTAGGTGAGCACACGATTCACTTATACGGCGCTCTTCGAAGTACTTGTTATGGTGCCCACTAGTTTTCGTTTTTGCGTCACGACAAGACGGAAAGGCGCAAAACTCCGCAGTGAGTGTCTGTTAGGATTAGATCTGTTTCGAGATTAAAAGAGAAACGCCAAACGCGAGGCGAAGCTATGCCGCGAAGCTCCCTGCGTATAATAACACCCTTCATCTCGCTGTATGAATTAATTCACTTTTTGAAGCACTTGGTGATTTCGATGATTGAACCTTCAACGACGACAGGACAAAGATGTGAGTTTAATTGCAACTGAGATCAATTAGCACTGCTTGTCCTCAAATATTTGAGCCATTCCGTCTTTACGGTCACCGATATTACCTGATGGTGCAGCAATGATTACTGCTGTGGTGCTGATAACAAAAAAATAACTGTCTTCGAGAGAACAAAAAACATTTTTAAGATAGTTCATTTTATGTTTTAATACTTTCTAGATACTACTATAAATTACTTAGTTGATTGAAGCGGCTGTTTTTATTATAAAGTTGTTAATTAGCCTTGTGATAAGCATATTGGGCCTGCATTAGAATGTGTGTACGATACAGTGGTGCATTCTGCCGCCATTTGTTGATGGTTCCTCACTTCTTGCGTGTTAAGCAACTGTAGTCTATCCTAAAGCACAGATCTAATCTTCCCATCCGAAGTTACGATGACCGGTGACTGCATTCATTGAATTAGTTTGTTTCTCGTTATCGAGTGGGGATTACCTGCTTGACGTACGTTAGTTTAAGGATGTAGCTTGACAAGCCTGAACGAAAACGGTTATAGGCGAAAACGGTTTAAGGTTTGAGACGCTAGAGAAGCGAGACTCCTCGAGTGTGTCTCTATAGTCTTGCGTCAAAAAGACGGTGATATTAATGCCGCTGATGGACTATCTTGCAGTAATCATCCACGACCCATCAGTGCTAATTGAGGGCGTCTTGTTTCGGGCACGCTATCTAGGCTCGACACAGCTAGTGTGCGAAGGCCAACCGACAAAGGCTACGAGGATGATGCAGGCCGAGGAGGCCGTCGCTAGAATCAAGGTATTAATGCTCATATCCACATAGATGAAAGATATTTCTATGTTGTGCTAAATAGTTGTTCTTTTGCAATCTTTTGAAGAAAGTTTTGTACTTAATTGACTTGTTTTTAAAAGTATTTTTCTATCTATCGTAATCTTTCTGTGAGGTATACGCTTTGACACTTCGGATGTCACCTATTTCCTTATGCATTTCGAAACTAGTAATAGTTGGAGGTCGTGATTAGGGTACAGTAAAGCCGAAGATTTCTGGGTGATTTGTTTTGTTGAAAAATCGCAGAAGCAAGCAGTAGCTTGCCATGGCAAGAGGCAAAGGAACTCTGTAAAAAAAAAAAAAGTTAGAAAAATGTTTCTATTTTACCTTTGTCTCTCCTTTAAAAGCAGGTCAAGTGGAGCCATGGTTTTACTTTAATGTTTATTCACAGTTGAATAGGCACAGTTGATAAGGCTCATATAGAGTATTCGTATGATAATAAGTAACCTACCAACATATTCAACTATAACCACGTTGATACAAATACATCTATAATTTTTACGGAAATTCTTGCGACTAACGTATCTCTTTTTTCTTTGATTTAATGCTGCTGTGAAGTCACTGGTAAGAAAATTCAAGTGAAAACTTCGTGTCCTCTGGGGGGAGGGGGGAGGGGGAGGAGGAAGAATTACTTTTTAACCGGTCCCCGTACAATTATCATTTAGATGATCTCATTATTGTATCGAAAAAGCCGTATTTGAAGAAATTATTTAGTTGTTCTGTACGGATGCTAAAAACACATTCTCAAACGCTGTTCTCGGAAACTGATGTCGCCTGTTCCGACGGCTCTTTATTCAACAACATTCATCTTGAATTATCCAATTTCAGGAGCCTCTTATTCATCTAACTCCTTCCTATCTACTACGCTTAAACAATGCAGAATGTGTCAGTTGCTGTGCATCAATATTTTTTGATTATCTGTGTACACTAAAAAATATTATTATAAAATTGGAATTAAAACATACACGTGTGTCGGTTTTTATGCAGGCACCAGAGGGGGAGAGCCAACCGTCGACTGAGGTAGATCTGTTCATCTCGACAGAAAAGATCATGGTGCTGAATACAGATCTTAAAGAAATAATGATGGACCACACATTACGTACGATCTCGTACATCGCCGACATCGGGGATCTCGTCGTACTTATGGCGAGAAGAAGGCCAGGTACTGAACCTGAGGGTGGGTACTGACAAGAGAAATGAGCGCCTGCCAATATAGGTGTTTGCAGCCAATATATAACATTGTATTTTTACCAAAGAAGGCATACCTGTGGTGGTAGCTACTAAGTATACTTTGTCTGTTGGCGCCGTTGAGCGAACTAGATCCGTATGTTGTAGACCTTCCAGGGACGTCCCCACCGCCGCACTGTTCTTCACAGCAGGGGGAGATGAAGAAGAAGCCTAAGATGATCTGCCATGTATTTGAGAGTGACGAGGCGCAGTTCATCGCTCAAAGCATCGGACAGGCATTCCAGGTTCGTATGTGTCCGCATGTATATGATGCTTATTTTGAAGATCACCCATGGCCCAGCCATCTTCGTAACAATAATTTATCAACAAAAGCTATATAGTACGTTAATATTACAAATGATACATTTATATATATATATATATATATATATATATATATATATATATATATATATACATTAGCTAATTCGGTCACGTCAGTTGGTAGTGCCAAGCTGCTGAATGCACGAAGCTACATGTTCTCGCACGAATAAGTTAGGGGGTCTTTACGGAGTCCTTCATTATTTACTGAAATTATTACTTCTATCAATAACAATACCTATTTCACAATGAAGGTCGCGTATATGGAGTTCCTGAAGGCGAACGGCATCGAAGACTCGTCGTTCATCAAAGAGATGGACTACCAGGAGGTACTTAACTCACAGGAGATCTTTGGTAACGAGCTGGAAATGTTCGCCAAGAAGGACCGCCAGAAGGAGGTGGTCGTACCCAAGCAAAAAGGCGAGATCCTCGGAATGGTAATTGTAGAGAGCGGCTGGGGCTCGATGCTGCCCACTGTCGTCATCGCCAATATGGCAGGCAGTGGGCCTGCAGCACGCTGCGGCATGCTCAACATTGGTGACCAAATCATCGCGATCAACGGAGTGTCGCTAGTCGGACTCCCGCTTTCGACCTGCCAGACCTACATCAAGGTATATAGTGGTGAAGTGTTTGATATTGGGCGTAGATGTACGTCGTTCATGCTGGGAGCAGCAGACCATCTGCAGCGATATTTAGCAACTGAGCTGAATGTAACACGCGGAACATTTGTTTATTATTTAGACCTATATAAAGGTGGGCTTGCAAGATGCCCCCTTTCGGTCCAACAGTCTGAAGGCAATAATACGTGGTTGTATTCTTCAACGAAAAAAAACACGTAACTTTATAGTACTTTATACTACTATAGTGCCATGCGTATAATTTGTACAGACAAAACTGATAATATGGATGTATCATCTTTAGACACCGGGGGTTGCGAAAGAACCATAATTGATCCGAAGGGTTCTAACTTGAATTTTGAATATCTAAATTTTTGCTTTCTATTCGGTTGTACGAGTTTCTATGCAAGGGTAGAACCGATAGCATAATCGTAAAATATTAACCCGTACAATCGTATATTTGTTTCTGGTATATTATATGTGTATTACAATAACATCAACAACAAAAATAGAACACAAAACAACAGACGGTGGTCAAGTTGACCGTAGTCCCCTGTGCGCCAGTGGTCGAGGTAAAGATCAAGCGGCCAGATACCAAGTACCAACTCGGATTCTCCGTACAAAACGGGGTCATCTGCTCGCTGTTGCGCGGCGGTATCGCTGAACGCGGCGGAGTACGGGTCGGTCACCGAATTATCGAGATTAATGGACAGAGCGTCGTAGCCGTCCCTCACGAAAAGATTGTTAACCTTCTTGCTACTTCTGTTGGCGAGGTATGATTTATATTCAGAAGAACATATACCACTTTGTTACGACCACGAAAAGGCGCAAGTGTACATATAGTTTATGCGTATGTTTCAAGCTAATGATGAGTGTATGTCGTCTAACGAATTACCTATAGTTTACTATAACTAAGAATTACCAATATTCAAAGCTAGTTACACAATGTCTAAGGTACTCATTTCATAGCTAGCATTCACGTTATTCTTTTTCTCCACAGATTCACATGAAGACGATGCCGACCTCAATGTTCCGACTTCTTACCGGTCAGGAGTCGCCAGTCTACATCTAATGACCCACCCATCTCTACTCCACTTACTCTGACAATTGGTCGACACGAGTCATGGACAATGGATCTAGTCAGCACTGAAAGACAGCACAATTTTTGGTTGCGGTATAAGCGGGGCGCTTGCGCCGGAACGATACCATTGCTCACCACATGAAAAAAATCATCATCTAATCGATGCTAACAAGATGCTGCAGAGGGACACAGGAACGTATATAAAGTGTGTACGTGAAACTGCTTGATGTCCGTGTCGTGCGGATTCTGTTTGAAAAGAGCGGGTAACGGAGCTGCAAGTCGTTATTGATGAGCAAACAAAAAAAGCCTGAAGAAAATAACCAGTAATAGCCCCCGATTGCCTGCGCCAAAGGAGGTTGAGCAATTCATTGACGTTGGATGGGCTTCGTGCCTGCAAAGCTTCAGCGCGGCAACGTCTATTAATATTAATGATACTATTATTATGGCTAAAATTATAATATCTCTGCATCAGCGTAGATACCAAGCCGCTAACCAGCCGCCGTAAAGCAAGAAATGGATTTGATGAAATTTAATAGTCGCCAGTGGTTCTCAGCGTAGCGCCTATTACATACAGTATATATACATAGATATAGAAACAGTGAGCAAGCAACCAAGTGAATACATGTAGAAGCTGCCTAAATAAGAATGCGAGTGAACAAATGGACGTCACTGGAGCTCGAATGGTCGGATTTGAATGGCATTTCGAGCCCCTGGGAGAAGAGGCTAAATGGGAACAGACCCAAAATAATACGGTAGTACCGCAAATGGGCACGGAAAAGAATCTCGATATAATTAATATTCAGAAAATAGAATTAAATGAACGAATACAACGCAGAGTCATTTGTACACAAATTTAGAGATATAGGGCAAGATTGTCGCGTTCGAAAATGCCGATGGTTTTTCGTTCATGAATTAGAAGCAATGATAGATTTAGACGAGAGTCGATATTTGTCCAGTAGTAGGAGAAACATAAATAAAATAAATGTAGTAATTTTCATCTAATGAAAATTCACTTTGGACTAAGCTGCGTCTAATTTCCCGAAACGATATTACAAAATGAGGAACAGATTAGGACCGGAGCAGTGACACACGTTCGTATACTATAATAAAGCCGATTTTAGTATAACGGTACATGGTCGAAAATTTCGACAGCAGTAAAAAACTGAATTGAGGGACAAGTCGTTGATGAAGTATTTTTAAAATTTTTTTTCTGCGTTTACATTTGATCACAAGTACAACATCATCCAGAACGAACGATAAAGTACTTGCATGAGAGATCATACAATCTAGTCATAGTATATATATAGCATAGCCTGGTTGACCGACATATCATACGAACAAACCCCTGATCCCAATATTCAGCTTTCTTATTTAGCTTCCAGCCCAACAAGGCTCTACGATGCCCTTTCTCTTGGCTTGTCGCGGCGTCTCAATTGTTTCGATCTAAACAAAACCGGGTTGGTACGTGGCACCACCCTCCTTTCATTATTTACATTCATATTTACTAAAATTAAGTGGTAACGTTTCCCATGCTACGAATGTTTGTTCTCGTCTGTTTACTGTGAATCAAAGACATTGCGTTCATTGGCACGGAAATTATACGACTGTAGAACAAATTACGTGACTAGTACGTGGAGCTATCGAATAATACTGAATCTCGGCATACAATATGTAGCAATATTTTCTCCATCCAATGGAAGATATTCGTAAAATGAAATTATTTTTAAATTATATATATATAAACGGTGAAGTGCGCGGTAGTGTTTTTCGGCCAGCAGAGCCAACCAACTTCATTGCTTTCACTGTCCTAATTCCGCTTCAAGTATCGAAGTGCTAGCTACTTGAGCTTCATGCTTGATCTCACTTCTCCTATTCTCACTTGAGAGTCCGCTTGGCCGCAGAATAGGGACTTTAATCCCGGCTTGCTAATTAACTTGTCCGCCATGGATTACACTTGGATTGCTGATCAGAAAGTGGATGAGCCACCCTCTACGCTTAATTTGTGAACTGTTTTTTTGAAACAACGGGTCCAAGATGAATGATATTAACATGATAACGACGATTCAGATGTAGGACACAATACACTGCTTCCGTCAACAATATCATCATATTGTAGCATTATATATAATTATGAGCGAAGGGCCTTAACACACCTAGATACCGGAAACTCAAACGCAGTCGCGTTACGACAGTGGAATTAACAACAAGACCCATATTATCAATGATGACCCGAAAGAAAAAAAAAACGCAGGAGACATTGTAGTAAAGAAAAAGGCTAAATGTAAACTTGAAAGCGAAAACAACCAACAGACAGGAAGCAACCTAAACTAACATTAGTCGAACATTTGTGTGAAAGTAGAAGCTGACTGTTCTGAGTGCCTGAGTGTATTATTATGCATCTCGTGTAGTTCGTTCCACGCCGTGGGTTTAGAATTTGGCTTTTGCCGGAATAGTAATGCTGATCCAGAGGAAATAGTTTTACTGAGAACAACGGCTATCACAACAGAGTATACCGATGATAGCAAAAAAAGAAAAACATCGGGGAGATAAGCTACAAATAACAAAAAAAGCAGTTACAATAACAGCAGCAACTAAAAGAACAAGAAATATATTTAGTATTAAGTGCAGCTGAATCTATACAGATACGCGAACGCACGCAAAAATATACCAGTCTATACATATATAAAAATATATACGATGACGAAAGAAGAAAACTATAACAATAAATAACCAACATAAAGACCTATATATACATACATATATATATATATCCTGTTTCGTTACATCGTCCTAGCTATGTTTCCTGAAGCGTTTTGTGATATTTTCCGTACTCAATTCCCCGAGCGCCGTTCAGGACGGCGAGTTTATCTGTTTATGTGTAAGCCTGAAATGTGTGATGGTGACTCGGTTTAGGCAACCGAGTGGAGAAAGAAAACAAGACTAATTGAAACAAGCCAGAGGGGCTCCTTGTGCCTGTCAAAAGCGTAACCCCCCTGTGAGAGGCCGTTGTCAATCTCGTTTTTCCATCCGCTTCCGTCATATTGTACACGATAATATATTACATACAGTAAAACTACATTGTTTCTATAAATTTTGTGAATACGCGTATCAATAGAAGTGCGAACGGGAAGTGAATAATGATAAACACGAAGACGCGAATCCCAACAGCGGACAAAAGAAAAGGTCTCCCGAGTAGACATAAGCGTACCCGAATTACACTGATGATCTTAATAACGATGGATAACAATTACTATGACAACGGAGTAAAAAATATGAATACTATAGTACTATAATTATGTTGAGTTACGACTGACGGGTAATCGACTAATAGGATAAATGTAGCTACTATAGTTACTATTTATGCTGGTGAAAATAGAGATAATAATTAAGTGATCATAACAATGACGCTAGTAAATTAGAGAAGCAATCGTCAAGTTCGAGAAAAGAGTAGATGAGGTTATTAGACCTAGTATAGACATCAATGTAGCAGCATACCTATAAATGAGTCACGCTTACCAATAGAGATTTGATGACGATGGTAATAGTGATAATAGGAAAGGATGAGGTTGCAGTCACACTGAATACCGAAAGGAGCGTACAGCGTAAGGAGAAATAGATCGAGTAATATAGATAGAAAAGGAAACTGTGTGCGCAAATAGTGAAACGAATAATGCCCATTGACAAAAACGAACATACAATAATAACAGCGATACATGAGTGTGTGAGCACGCCATTTTGCAAATGTCTACCGACGCAGGCCCATGCGGCGGCCGAAAAAAGGGCCATAGTATATATATATATATATATATATATATATATATATATATATATATATATATATATATATAGACGAGACGAGACGAGACGAGAACGGAAGAACACAGCTACATAGAAGAAAAGCCGTAAATGTATTCTTTAAAATAAAACAAGTGACCGAATAATGAACACTATTATTATTATTCTATATCGTGGTGAGAACTAGGGTTTATCGCATGGCTAGCCATAAATAAAGCATATATATGTATATGGTTTCAATGAGCTGGAAGTTCTGCAAAGCCGGAAGTACTATGCATAGACTGCCGAAAAACGTATATATATATATATATATATATATATATATATATATATATATATACACACACATATATATATATATATGCACAGAAATAGAGAGATGTCAACTCGTACCGGTAATGCAATGAGACGCTAGTAGAAACGCTCACGCTAAACGGTAACTAGAAAAAATGCTCGTGTTTATCTCCAGATTACAACAGCGATAAAGTTCAATTTTTCTATTGTTCTAAAAAAGCTATGTTCAGTTAGAAGTGTAACTTTGATTTCGTGAACGATAAAGCAGTCGCTTAATGAGAATGCGGGGTGTTTGCCGGTTTTTGCAAAGTGACATGGTCTACATTTAAAGTTGTACTGGTTTAATTAGCGAATAGCAACGTATTGAGTACGGAACGGTATGAGACGGACAAAGATATCGTTTTTGCGCGCAAGGATATACGTTTCAAGATAACAGTTTGTACTGCGTAAGTTAGTCGCATCGAATGGAACCTCTAAGAGGCTCAAGCTAACTGTCGCATCGGCAGTCAGAAAAGGGTATTTAGTAGATCATTATATTACTATTAATAATGACGCATATATATGTTTTGTTCACTGTGTATTATCGCTATTCCGATTTGTCACAGAGAGCAAAATAGAGACTGTCAGCAAATTTCGGTACGAGATTATCACCATTATTAAGGCAGAGAAAAACAAGGCGTGGTCATTGGGGCCTACCTGAATTGCTGCTAATACAGCCTAACGCATGTTGGTAGGCTTTGAGCGACACGGGCCAAATTATGACAACGACCAAGAGAAACACATTACTTACTATAACACAAAATATACACAGCTTCTAAAACAGAACACACAGCGTACCGATAATAATAGTTATTATTATTATGGGTACTACAAAATTAATTGTTCTTTGCCCAACTGGAATGAGAGCATTGATCCTTTAATGATCATATTCTACGAGTAATAATGGTCAGAAAAAAAAATATGCGTTTACTATGTGCATGTAAGTGCGTTTGCTGAATGATACAATTGTTTGCTGGTAGACACGGGAAAAAATAAAAAAACGGCAATAGATGGAAAAGTTCATAAAAAACATGAGAAAAAAAAAGACGAGTGTTACGAGTATATTAATAAGTACCTTGCTCAGGTATAATTGTATTTTGTACTTTTGGTCCAATAACCAGATCAGCGCTACCACCACCATCAACAACAGGACGAATAAATAGAAAGACAACAACGAGATTCCAGGTCGAAGAAGAGTACTGAATGAACCCTCAGTAAATGCACGTAGGGCCCAAGGTCCTCTAGGAGTAAATGATCAGAGGGTAACGAGAGCGGGTCGTTGACCGACGCCTGTGCTAGAGCTTATAGGATTATGATGTCATGAGAGGCCGCAAGGTTGATTCAAAGCCTTTCGCATATATTTTGCTTGCGATCGACGCCAACCGAAGGTCAGCGATCCTGGCGCTGATGTCTAATATCAAAGAATAACAGGCAGAGTGAAGAAGTGAATTAGGTAACGCTTTCTTAAGCTATGCCTCGAACACGCCGATACCTGATAACCGGCGTTTTTACTTTAAATATATTAAATCAGGCGGCATATGATCGCCGCAACATAGTATCAATCGTATCTGTTGATGAGAGTGGGGTTGATAGTTAAACCATAACCTCCCGAGGTGAAAACGAAGCCATTAAAAACGGGGCAAGGATCTTGTCCAGGTTCGATGCCTCATCAACACGCAATGGCCGAGCTGCGGCTAATTCTACGGCGTGAAGTGTCCTACAAAGAAATACATGGCGCTTTGCGAGGTCGTGTGGTTGAAACTATTACATACTTTAAGTCCCGATATCGTACGGAAACATACGTACGGCAAATTCACCGGTCTCTAATGAGCACAAACAAAAAAACAGCGACCGCATGGGTTCATGTGGCCCAACAACACACGCAACTATGAGAGCTAAAGCGAGGTGAGATGTCAGTCATTAGATATAATAACAAGGAGGATAAGTTAATATTATTACATTAATTTTATTATGAGGATTATTATTATATAATAAGTAAGGATAAGTAATTGTTTTAATTCAGAGTAAATGTATCACTGGATTTGAATAAATAGTATTTAATATAAAACAATCGTCTACTTATTTATAACGATAGAATACTCTCGGCAAAACTCTAGCTTCTAGGGCAGGTTGGGAGCCGATAAATCGAGCTTGCAGCAGGGGGGGATCAATTACACAGCCTGTGCAGTGGCAGAGTACTAACTAGAAGGAATATTGTATTTAGTGTCTATAGTAAACTGCAAGTACTCCGAAACGATGAGGTCACTTGGTAAGCTATTCTTGACTCGCTATCAGTAAATAGCGTAGACGTAGCAGCAGCTCTCATTCCTAATCCTTTCGAAGTGATTGGCAGCGTGCGTACAATGGTTCCTGTTAGCCATTACCTGTCTATGCGCTTAGTATATTTTCATTACTTACAAGAGGTATAACTCCCGTGCTTAAACCTAAGATGCCCTGTCTAAGACGACAATAAAATAATCGCTCTTATCGCCCCCGCTAAGGGACTCAAAATTTCCGTAAGTTTAAGTTTAAAAATACCTAGTAAACTGTGAAAAACTTAACTGTCTACCTGGACGATTTTGATAAATCAACACTGCAGTTGTTTCTGTAAATGTGTTGAATGCCAAAAGAAATGTACATATATAAATGCTTAAAATCAGTCGAATTTTTGCGTTGGCCTGCACATCTAAATACAGGTGTTAAGATTACTTCCGTTATTTCTACAACGAATAATCGATGCCCCAAGGGGCGTATGCTAACTAACTCAGTTAATCTTAGCTTGCATTATGAAAACGACGGATTCCGCGATAAAGAAATCCTAACAGATGCCGAGTCTCAGATACCACTTCATGGATTTTATGACTGATACTATATAAATTCAGTGTTTGAAAAAAAGCATCTTCCTCAACGATGACACTTCTCAGCGTTGACTCCAAAATACTATGATACTGAAGTAAACTGCAGCGATATATGCGCTTTCTGTTTTCTTTTATAGCGTTTGTAAGGAAGTACTTAGCACGGTCAATATCTCGTAATAATTCAAAAGACTATACGCTATTATGTATTTATAGTCATCGGCAGTTTACAACGCGCGGATTCGTTTAATGCCCAACAATACGAACAGCGCCGATC